GACTCTCCGTGGGCATCACACCTAACTTCCTGCAGGTGACGGACATTCATGGAGCGCAGACTGTGGCCAGGCTGCCAGGGGCTCAAGGAGGCAAAGTAGCTTCTCCTAAGGGATGTTCCAGTCCAGTGGGAGGCTAAGCCCAGCACACGGAAATGAATGACTCTGCCAGGATGTGGCGAGGGAGCGTCATACAAACACCTGCCTCAGTATTCAGATCACTTGGCATGCTATTTACACAGAAGAGAGCAATGTGGGCCTATTCCTAGAAGAAGAAAGGATACCTTTTGCTTTAGGGCATTAATACTAGGAGATCTTTCTTTTACTTGTGGCAAGATACATATAATATAAAATTTGCCATCTTAATCATTTTTAAGCATATAGTTCAGTAGTGTTACACGTATTTAAATTTTTATGCCATCAAACTCAATAACTTTTTAATGTCACAAAACTGAAACTCTATGTGGATATCCAATAAACAACAAATCCCCACTTCTCCCTCCCCGAAGCCTCTGACAACCACCATTCAACTTTCTGTTTTTATAAATCTGACTACTCTAGGCACCTACCTCATATAAGTAAAATAATACAGTAACTGTCTTTTCGTGGCTGACTTACTTCACTTAGCATAATGTCATCATGAGTCATCCATGCTATTGCATATGTCAGAATTTCCTTCCTCTTTAAAGCTGAAAAATACTCCATTGTATGTACATATCACATTTTGTTTATCAATTCATCAGTTTCATGAATACTTGTGTTGTTTCCACGTTTTGGCTATTCTGAATAATGCTTCCATGAACATGGGTGTATAAATATCTCTTTGAAACCCTGCTTTCAATAGATATATACCCAGAAGTGAATTGTTTAGATGATATGGTAATGCTATTTGTAATTTTTTGAGGATTTGCCATTCTGTTTTCCATCGTAGCTGCATCATTTTCCTTTCCCACCAGCAGTGCACAAGTTTTCTAATCTCTCCACATCTTTGCCAACACTTGGTATTTTCTTGGGTTTTGACAGTAGCCATCCTAATGGGTATGAGGTGATATTCCATTGTGGTTTTAATTTGTATTTTCCTCATGATTAGTAATGTTCAGCATTTTCATATGCTTATTTTCGGCCATTTGTATATCTTTTTTGGAGAAATGTCTATTCAAGTCCTTTGCCCACTTTTAAATAGTTTGCATGGGTTTTTTTTTGGCTGTCATTCTTGTTACATTGTAGGAGTTTTTTTTTAAACTAAGGCAAAGGAAGTGGGGATAGTGAGAAGGATCGCCTAATATTAATGCCTGTGCATGTGTATAATTTTCTGGGGTAGGGGACAGGGTTTAGTTCACTTAAGTCTTGAACTCCTGGACTCAAAGAATCCTCTGTCTCAACCTCCCAAGTAGCTGGGATTACAGGTGCATACCACCACACCTGGCTGAATTGTAAGAGTTATTTACATAATCTATACAATATCCCCTTATCAGATTTATAATTTACAAAGATTTTCTCCCATTCCATAGTTTGCCTTTCACTCTGTTGATTGTGTCCTTTGAAACACAGAAGTTTTTTCTTTATTTTGATGTAGTCCAATTTACTTTTGGTGCCTGTACATTTGGGTAATATCCAAGAAATCACTGCAAAATCTAAAGAAACTTTTCCTCTATGTTTTCTTCTAAGAGTTTTATAGCTTTAGGTTTTATGCTTAGGTCTTTGATTCATTTTGACTTAATTTTTGAATATGGCGTAAGATTCAGCTTCAAATTTATTCTTTTGCAGGGAGATCTAGTTTTCCCAACAACATTTGTTGAAAAGACCATTCTTCACCTCACTGTCTTGGCACCCTTATTGAAAATCATTTGATCATACAGAGGAGAGTTTATTTCTGGGTTCTGTTTCATTCCACTGTTCTACATGTCTGTCTTTATGCCAGCACTACCCTATCTTGATTACTGTAATTTCATAATAAGATAAATCAAGAAATATGAAGCCTCCAGCTTTGTTATTCTCTTATAAGATTGCCCTGGCTATTTGGGATAATATTAGGCAATCTTTTAAACCAAAATTTAGATTTCTTTCATCTTAAAAGTCTCCAATATTTTCCTATGACATGTACAATTCAAACTTCTTACCAAGAGGATCCACGACCCGCTGCATAACCTGTGTGCAACCTTCCCGTCTGCCCTCCCCTCTCAGTATGCTCCTTGCTTGTCCACAGTGCTCCAATGCCACTGGCCGCCTGTCTGCTCTCCAGCCCAGTTCCTCTGAGCGAGTGCTATTCGTTCACACATCTGTACATTCGTGCATTCTACATGTATATATTGAGTCCTACTCTGTGTTGGGTCCTGTTGTAGAGATATGGATACAGCAATTGACACTCACGGCTGATGCCGTCTCAGCCTTTAGCTGAGAGGCTTTCTTCCTCACCCTATTTAAATTTGTTCTTCCTCGCATCCCACCCCCGCCCCAATTCTCCATTTCTATATTCTACTATTACTGCTTTCATAGACTTACTCTTCATTTTTTTAAAACCTGTATATTTTCTGTCTCTCCCATCAGACCTTAAGCTTCAAAAAGTCACAGACTCCAAAGACACTTGGGGAACACTCAGTACACATTTGTTGAAAGAATAAAGTGCGTTTGGTTGACGATTTTCTGAGAGGACAGTAAACTTGGGTAATAAAGGCTTCCTTTTATAGGACAGAGTGGTCATTCAACTCTCTGAGCCCCTGTCATTGCTGTTGGTTTGAATGTCACCAAATCACCATTTAGAAAGCTGTGTTAAACTTGCACTGAACACAGAATAAAGCATTATAACCATAATTTCACTGTTCAAATGGAGCAAGATTTCTAAGGACACTGAACATTTGTTTTCTCATCTTCTGATCCTTTCCAAAGAAAATTGGAATTACACCTATAATCCCAGCTACTTGGGAGGTTGAGGCAGAGGATCCTTTGAGTCCAGGAGTTCAAGGCTTAAGTGAACTATGATCATGTGCCCCCATGTGTCGTCTGAGAGCACGAGTCTAATATCTGAGTAAAGGAAAGAAATAATTTCCCCTGAAGAACTAGCTTGTATTTTTTCTTATGAGTACCACTTACTGATTCAAAGTCATTGACTTAAAATAGAGAGCTGTTGGATTCCATTACTCTTCTGTACAAAAACGCTTTAAAATGTGAGTCAATCCAGGTTTAACCAAAAAGAAGAAGAAATGCTTCCTAAATAATCCCATTTTTGACAGTCATTTAATTAAATGTAATCACTGATGTTATAACTCCCCAGATTACAAATGTGCCTCTGCCACGTTCGTATTACCCGAGTAAACTGAAACTCATGAGGCAAAATAAGGCATTTTACCACATTCTCCCTTGGGTTCACAGCCCAAAAGTATTTGCTCATAGTAAATGAATGTAATATGGACACATATTTGCAAGTTTACTTCACAGTCAGCCACAAGGTAAATAGAGTCATCCATATTATAAACCCCCATATTATAAACCCCCAAAACCATATTGTAACTTTACATCATGAAGCCTGCCAAAATTCATTTTATATCCTTACTGAATGTACAATTTGAAATTACCTTTTCTTAAACGAAATAGGAATGTCAGACTTGATTGTCCTGCATAAGATGAATCATATGGATTATATTATTTTGTTATATTTTGTTTTCTTTCAGACAGTTTCAATCCTCTGCAACACGTTTGCGCTGAACTGTTTGTTTAGTACATTCCCCCAGCCTATTAGTCATGAAAGAACCAGATACTCTAGTGATTATCTTGCGGGGGCTCACTCATTGCTTTTGGAAACAGGCCTCAGATGAAGTAACAATAACCACACTGACGGAAAAAAACAAAAAAGCCAAACCAGCAATATAGTATTATGACAGCAGATCACATCTTGACTTGAAAAAGCAGAAGCGATAGTCTAGCTTTTTCCACTTTATACATATATATCATCTCCCTTGACGTTCTGCCCCTGTCTGCCACCAATCAATCTTCATCCAAGAAATATAGTCTAAATTTTCCCTATGGATCTTCAGGAATGACTCACTGAGTGTAGTTGGAAGTATATGAGAAATTTTACTTCAAAGATAAATATTTCCATTATGCTTCCTTAGCGGATACATAAGGTCAGGATATGTAATAGAATTTTGCTTCACAGCGCATAATATTCTCATTTTCACCACAATTAGTTCTCTTCAACAAACAAGTTAGAGTACTTACCAGAATGCTCATTACAAGATTGTTCATAGTGACCAAAAACGAAAATCAACTCAAATGTCCATCAGAGGATTGGCTGAATAAAACATGGTGCACATATATCAATGGAACAGAGACAGGCATTAAAATAAATGATGAGATATTTACCGTTTTCCGGGGGAGATCTCACTTCCCAGCCAGCTCCTTGAGATGGTTTCAGAAACCCTTACTTGTCCCAGTCCAGAGATGTAAATTCATTCCATTCTGCAGACAATGCTCCATGACTGACAGAAGGACGGAGTAGGAGGGGAAGAAGGCAAACGGGTAGGAGAGGCTTCTAAGTTGTTCTGGCTTCTGCTCCAGCTCAGATTGGGTCTGGCCATAGATCTGAACTTATGCAGAAAGAGCTGGGAGTGCTCAGGGATTGTCTGGGGCCCAAGGACCTAGGAAGGTCGCTGGGAACAGCTAACCAATTCACTTAGGGTGGGGAATACTCGGCCAGACACGTGACCCAGGCGGCCATTTTCTCACACCCTGCAGTCACCATCTTCCAGGCAAAGACACCATCCCCCACCCTTGTCTGATTCGGGCATGGTGACTGCCTGGTTACCGAGGTTTGGGAGCACGCATGTTTAACCCCAGTCAGATGCACGCAGACAAAATTTTGGCTTGCAAGTAGGGTATATGGCCTCACCAGTCGACCCGCCGCTTCTTCCCTGTCACTTCGCCGTCCTCCCTCTACCTTCTCCGCTATTTCCTTACCTACGGGGCAGCCAGGAGGCGGGGCCCGCGTGGTAGCGAGGAAGGGACGGGCAGGTGCAAGCTCAGTCAGAAGCCCGCCCCCAGCGGAGAACGCACAGTGGGCGGAGTCGGGCGCCTCCCAGCCTGGGATCCGGAAGCCTGAGCCTCGCTGCGCGAGAGCATTTGCTCGCCGAACAGAGTTGTCTTGTTGCCGTCCCTTCTCACAACCTCGCCGGAAGTATAGGAAGAGAGCAAGCAGATTTGAACTTATCTGCTTTCAAGCTGGTCATCACGATGAAGCTTAGACACAAAAATAAAAAGCCAGGTAAAAGTTCAAAGGGCCACAAGAAGCCTGCGAAGCAAAATGGGAAGAAAGCAACCTCCAAAGTGCCCTCAGCACCTCATTTGGTTCACTCCAATGATCATGCCAATCGAGAGGCTAATTTAAAGGAGAAAAGGGTTGAGAAGATGAGGGAGTTGCAGCAAGCTGCCTGGGATCAAGAAAGACAAAAACGCAGGACCATCGAGAGCTACTGTCAGGATGTCCTGAGATGCCAGGAGGAGTATAAGCATAAGGAGGAAGTTTTGCAGGAATTAAATATGTTTCCTCGGCTGGATGACGAGGTCACAAGGAATGCTTATTACAAGGAGTTCCATAAAGTGGTGGAATACTCTGATGTGATTCTGGAAGCTCTGGATGCCAGAGATCCATTAGGCTGCCGCTGCTTCCAAATGGAGGAGGCTGTCTTGCGAGCACAAGGCAGCAAGAAGCTGGTCCTTGTCTTGAACAAGATTGACCTGGTCCCCAAGGCGGTTGTGGAGAAATGGCTGGATTACCTTCGGAAAGAGTTGCCAGCCGTGGCTTTCAAGGCCAGTACCCAGCATCAGGTCAGAAACCTGAATCATTTCAGTGTACCAGGAGATCAGGCCTCTGAGTCACTGCTGAAAAGCAAAGCCTGCTTTGGAGCTGAAAAACCTCAATTAGGTTCTGGAGAACTATTGTCGCCTTGTTGAAGTGCGTACGCACATTCATGTAGCCGTTGTGGGTCTTCCCAGTGTTGAGAAGAGCAGCCTGATTAATAGCCAGAAGCACGGCCGTGCATGCAGCGTGGGAGCGGTTCCTGGGATTACCAAATTCATGCAGGAGGTCCACCTGGACAAGTTCATCCGGCTGCTGGATGCTGCAGGCGTTGTCCCAGGGCCCAACTCAGAGGTGGGCAATAATATCCTGCGTAACTGCATCCACGTGCAGAAGCTGGCAGACCCTGTGACCCCGGTGGGAACCATCCTGCAGCACTGCAACCTGGAGGAGATTTCCAACTACTGTGGTGTCTCTGGGTTCCAGACCACTGAGCACTTTCTCATGGTAGTGGTGCACCATTTGGGGAAGAAGAAGGGAGGCTTATACAGTCAGGAACAGGTGGCCAAAACTGTCCTAGCTGACTGGGTCAGCGGGAAAATCAGCTTCTACATGCCACCACCACCTACTCACACTCTGCCTGCCCATCTTAGTGCTGAGATTGTTAAGGAAATGACTGTGGTCTTTGACATCAAGGATACTGATATAAAAGTATGTGTGTATTATAATAGATGCAGCATTATAGTTTATATGTATTTAATACATGATATGTGTAACATTATTTCTTTTGGAAAAATTTTCCTGACTCCAGATTATATCATGCCCTTTTTTGTTTGTTTGTTTTCTTTGAGGTGGAGTCTCATTCTGTCACTCAGGCTAGAGTGCAGTGGCAAGCTCTTGGCTCACTGCAGCCTCTGCCTCCCACGTTCAGTGATTCTGCTGCCTCAGCCTCCCAAGCAGCTGGGATTACAAGTGTGTGCTACCACGCCCAGCTATTTTTTGTGTTTTTAGAAGAGATGGGGTTTTACCATGTTGGCCAGGCTGGTCTTGAACTCCTGACCTCAGGTGATCTGCCCGCCTTGGCCTCCCAAAGTTCTGGGATTACAGGTGTGAGCCACCATGCCCAGCCTATGCCCTCTTTTTAAATATTAATATGATCCTAGAATACAGACTTTGCCTTCATAGAACTTATCACAATTGTAAGTAAACATGTAATAGCATCATAGTTGTTTGAGCCTGTCTTCCTACTTAATTTCTTTTCTTCATTTTGATTTCCTGTATTTTCTAATTTTTCTATAATGGTAATATACTCTTTTAATAAAAACAACTTAATAGAATAAAAAATTAGAATTGTATTTGTCAGCTTTTACTATAATGATGCTGCAATCAATTCCAGAATATCAAAGTCTTAAAACAATAAGGCTTCATTTCTCTCTCAGTTTCTGTGGGTCATCTGGGTGTCTTTGTTCCAGACTGTAGGTCAAGTTCAGGTCTTCTATGGGGAGTTAGACAGAAGAATTAGTTCTTACCTGGGACATGCTGTTCTCATGGCAGGAGGCAGGAGCATAAGAGAGACCTTCAGAAACATGCAAAGCGTTTTAAAACCTCTGTCAGAACTGGCATTCACTTATGCCCACTCTCTATCAGCCAAAACCAGTCACATGGCCAAGTCCAAAGACAATGGAGCAAAGATGTATAGTCTGCCTCCTATGAGGCATGGTAAGTTACCTGACAACAGGAAGAAATGTATTATTACAGAGAAGATGCAGAGGTTTGGGTATAGTATGTCATGATACTAATATTTTCTAATAACTACAACCAGTTCTGTGCTAGCAGTCTAAGTATAAAAAGCAGAATCACAAGCAACATCAAGCTCTAAACACAAGGGCTGAGTCTTGGAACCCAGAAACAGCCTTTCAAAAACACACATCAGTGGAGATAATTAGCAACAGTCTATACATGTAAGGTTAACAACACAGCAAAGAAAAATAAGCTAACTGTATCAATTGTTGTATGTGGCAGATTGTTCATTAACAGCCCTCAGAGGTCTACACCAGATTCACATCTTCCTGTAAACCAGTTATTTTCAACTGAAGGCAATTTTTTTCCATGCAGAGATCATTGGCAATGTTAGAGACATGTTTGAGTGTTATAGTATGGGGTGTGGGAAGGTTATGGTCTGAACTGTTACTGAAATTCGAGAAGTAGAAGCCAGGGATGCTGTTGAATGTCCTACAATGCACAGGACAGCCCACTGGACAAAGAATTTTCCAGCTCCAATATCAGTGGTGTTGCTGTTCAGAAACCCTGCTGTAAAAATACACCTTCCCACATTCACTCTTGGTTTGGCCGTGTTATTTTTTTTGGCCAGTGTGGCATTTACCAAGTATAACACAAGCAGGGGTGTAAAAAGTGATTGCTCACTGGGACTTGCTATCTCTGGTTACATTTGGAATCCAGCCACCATGAGAAGAAACCTGAAGTTGTTAACTGCTAGAAACGTGGAACCCAGTTGCTCCCATTGCCCCTGTCAATCACATGAATGAGGCCATCCAGAGCCAATTATCCCTTAGCAACCCCACCAGCTACCTGCAGATATGTGAGTAAACCCAGGCAAGTCTTGCAAAAGAACGACTCAGGCCATTTTGACAAACCACAGCATCAGGAGCTAATAAATGATTGTTTTTTAAGTTACTGCGTTTGGAGGCACTTTATTATGAAGCAAAGATATTGTACTTATGGGAATATAGTCTAAGATGCTGTGATTAAAGGACTCCGACACACAGTAGTTTAAATAAGGCATTTTTACATAAAAGTCCAGGACTCCTCAACACAGGTTTTCCATCTCTGAGTCCAAAGTGGCTCCTCCAGCTCCTACCATCACAACTACATCTCAGTCAGAGGAAAAGGAGAAGACACAATGGATGTTCACGTGCAATCCTTTTAGGTCAAAACTTGAATGTACCACATATCATTTTTGTTCACATCCTATTGCCAAAATATAATCGCATGGCCACATTTAGCTGCAAGAAGGAGCTGAGAAATACTGACTTTAGCTGTGGCAAAATTCTTCATGCCCAGGAAAATAATCTGGTCGAGTAGAAGAAAAGAACAACGAATTTTGGAAAACAGTTGACTGCTGCAGTGATTTAAACTTCTCACAAAAAAATTATTAACTACATGTACATATCAGATGAGGTAGTCAGGTGGTAGCCTGGACTATCCAGAAAACTGCTTCAGTCCTCCAATTCACTTTGCTGTGTCACTTCAAAAATCACTTGCACTTGAATCTGTAACACAATTATATTTTTTTAATGGGAAAAAGTTGATTTCCATCAAAGTATATGATAACATGAGTTTTCTTAACACAAATATTTTCTCCTAATTTCCACTACAAAATCCAATTATTTTCCTAAGGAAATACTCCCAGTATGAGGAAGCTTTTAAAGCAAAAGTTAGTGCCCAGGCCATAGCCTTTGGAATGCATTGGCATTGTTTTTCCATTTTTATTATCTCTCACAAATTTTCTCCTGTATTTTCTGATCCACAGAAAATTTTACACACCTGGGTACCATATCATAGGGCCTTGTGAAGCTTGATAAGTGTTTAGCTTTAACAGGGTAATATAATCAACATAATAGAAAACTAGACAAAAGGTATGAATGAGAGTACACAGAAAAGGAAATATGAATAACCTATAAACCTAGAAACATGCATGTCCTCCCTCCATTGAAGAAATAGAAATCAAAACTACACTGAAATACCACTTTTCACTTATAGAATTACATGTTTGATAACACATCATTGGCGTGAATACAGAGATAATTACTCTTATTTATTGCTGATAGGACTATAATTGTTTAACCCTAGAGAAAAATTATCAGGAACTGTATCATTTTTAAAATGTACAGACCCTTTCAGTTAATAATTCCATTTCTAGAAATTTATCCTACAAATGTATTTATACACATAATTTTCTGAAGCATTGTTTGGCCAAGGGAAAAGAGAGAAAACCCTCACTGTTCATTAGCAGGGGATTTGTTAAACATAGTACATCCATTGAATGGAATATTACATAGCTATAAAGGAGAATACATATTAAATAATTTCTGAAATACTCTTTTAACAGTGTGCATAATGCTGCCATTTGTTTAAAAGAAAGAGAATGTTAAGAAAAAACACAAAATCCTTAGAAGAATAAACGAGTTGACACCAGTGCTTACCTCTTGGGGGAGATGGGAACCAGGCTGACACAGGATAGAAAAGGAGGGTAAATTTTTCAATAAACATAATTTTATACTTCTTTATATTTGAACCATGTGAAGATATTTTCTCTTCAAAGAAAATTACATGGGGTTGGGGGATGGGTTTTTTTTTTTTTTTTTTTTTTTTTTTGAGTGCGATTCTTGCTCTGTTGCCCAGACTGGAGCTCAGTTGTATAATCTCAGCTTACTGCAACCTCCAGCTCCCAGGCTCAAGTGACTCTCCTGCTTCAGCCTCCTGAGTAGCTGGGACCACAGGAATGCTCCACCACACCTGACCAATTTTTGTATTTTTAGTAGAGAGAGAGTTTTGCCATGCTGGCCAGGCTGATCTTGAACTCCTAACCTCAAGTGATCTATCTCCCAGCCTCGGCCTCCCAAAGTGCTGGGATTACAGGCGTGAGCCACTGTGCCCAGCCTACACAGGGCTTGTTTTTAAGTGAAAAATACAATATCTCTTGTTGAAGATACGGTATTGATATTAATGCAGCCTAAGATTATATTTCTTTATTTTTAATAATTACCTTATATTGAGATCTAAGTAAACTAAAGCCTCTATCTCCCTTCTAAATGGACTGCTCTTATATCAAGTCATTTTCTTTATACTTAGTTGATTTTTTATCCAAATATAAATCTGTTTTTAAAAAGCTACCTTACAAAGGAGAGATGCCCCCTCCTGTCATTTACATTTCCTATATTTTAAATAAGTAAAATCCAGAATAGCACATACTTCCAACAATTATTTACCAATTATTGAGATACTAAAACTAACATTCTGGTACTAAGTTTAAATTCTGTGGATGATACAAATATTTCATATATGTGTAAATGTGTATTATATATGTAAATTTTATGTATGTATGTAAATGTACACTATGTATGTGTGCATATATATAACATGTATGCATGTATACACATACACACATATGCCATAGCTTACATATGATAATCATATGGTTAAAGTTGTTAGATATACTACTTATATTTTTAAACATTTTGAGTAAAATCTCAATTTGTATTTTAGAAACCTCCAAGTATACAAGACAGTTTTCACAAATAGGCAATCTATTTTTAGGGATTCTTAGCTCTGTCATTCAAAAGAAACAGAACAGTAATTCCTTTCAATAAAAACTAAGCCATCTTTTCCCTAAAATTAAATGCATTCCACATAGTTATTAAAACTGGTGAATTTGAAAAGTGCTTATAATTTTACAGCAATGGCAATAATAAAACTGATTTTTCATCAGTTTTTTAAAGAGCGCATGCTCATTGCAGAAAACTTGTAAAATACAGAGACATACAAAGAAGAAAATTAGTGCCACCTGTAACCTCACCAGTTAGAGGTACCCACTGCTAACATTCTAGTTCACCACCAGCCAGCTACCCTAACCAGTTAACATTAACTCCATGTCAAATCATCAGCTTTGACATTTGTCAGTGTTCTAAAGCTGATTGGAGTTCATTCTCACTAAGACTGGTTTTCTCATCCACTTCAGCAACGCAGCTTGACCTCTAGCAGCTCAGCTTGACCTCCTATTGGTTCAACCTAGAAGATCAAGAGAGGTCAGAGATTGGTCCAGAGTGTAGG